CGTCTGCATCTAAGCCACTGAACCGTGATCATGCATCTCAATCCTTTCTTTATATAAAGAGGATTTATGGAAGGGAAAGCCTCAAGGGTCAGCACTAATATCTTGATCGCAGCAAGACTTTGCAATTGAACAATTCTATTCTTCTGGCCAAGGGCAGGTTGTGAAAGAAACATATACTGTATGTTGTGTCTGAGTCTAATGTGTGTGTGTGTGTGTGTGTGAGAGAGAGAGAGAGAGACAGAGAGAGAGACAGAGAGAGAGACAGAGAGGGACAGAGAACGAATGTATGTGTGTATGAAAAAGATGAAGACAAAGTTTTTTCAGAGGGCTTTGTGGGTCAAGGCCATAAGGTTATATTTGGGTTTTATTTATCTCTGTATTTCTATATCTAATTTGTCTTCCTAGTATTTTTCCACAAGTGCTGGGTCTGCTTTTTTTTAGATCAACTGAGTATTGATTCATTGATTGCAATAGGCATTGACCAACTAGCTTGTTGGCCGAGACTGACATTATGAAAGAGTGACTGGCCCAAAACTATCCAGTGGGCTTTCTTGCCAAAAGCAGAACTAGAACCCAGAGTCTCCTGGTTTCTAGCCCCTGGTGCTAGACCAATCTGCCTCTTGCTTTGTCTTTATGTTTCTATATTTTATTGCATTTTCTTACTTTTTGAGCTATTGAGTGTTTTGTGACTGTGGTGGGATACAAATTTGATTAATAAAATAAAGAGAGAGAGAAAGCGAGGGAGGCAGGGGAGGGAGAGAGGGGGGGAGAGGGAGAGGGAGTGGGTGATCCAGATTTGTGGATCTTTGTGGACAAATGAGAATTCTTTCCAGAATTCCTAGAAGTTTGGAATTTAATGGACATGAACCAAAGCTAGCTTTGTTGTGTGTGAGTTTGCATATGGATAGCCACTTCTATTTTTGAGATTTAAGCCACGTGGATTCTATGAATATTTCTTGATCTAGCCTAATCCCTTTGGATTTTGTCATCCCATCTGTCATAGTATTTTTGGTTATTGCATGCTTGCTGGAATGATGTTGGTAGGGGAAGGGAGAGTGAATATATAATTTCCAGGTACTCTGAGAAGAAAGTGTTTACTACGGACTTGCTTTCTGGTGGTATCACTGGTTATGCATCTATTTACCCCATCTCTTTTTCTGCAGTGGGATCCTTTTCACTGTCAATTTAATTGTCATGTAGCTCAAGCATCATCCTACACCAGGCCAGAAAGATATGTCACATATAGGTGACATATGCTAAATATGGATTATTCAGAATGCTCTTACATCTTTCTTGCCCAGTTTACACATGTAACTTAAAATAAGCAAGGATCATCAAAAACAGTCTTGTGCAAGAGGATTCAAGAATTTTAAAATATGAATTTAAGAAACATAAAAACATTTTATCAACCGAGCCTGATTTAAAATATCATTGTTAAACCACTTTTTTCCTTCTTTTTGATCTTTAATTGCTATTACTTTGAAATTCTACCCTGTACATTTTTAAATATTTTTTTTTCAGTTGCATAGATTATAAAATAGAAATGTTCCTGATGTACTGAGAAACATTTTGTTTGTCTGGTGATAAAATTATTGCAAATGCCTTAGCCCTGGATATGGAAACGAAGTTGTTTTGTTAGGCTGCCACAATGGAGACGATAAACCAGTCTGCTTGTTTGCCTGCCTGCATTATTTTTACAAAGAACCCAAGGAGGCAAACATCTCTAACACATCTTCCCCCTCCTCCTATTTTCCCCAGAACCACAATCTTGAGAGGTGGGTTGGGTTGGGCTGAGAGAGAGTAACTGGCCCAAACTTACCCAGCTGGTTGTACTTCTGTCAATGCAGTCAATCCAAAGTAAATAATTCCGTTTACTTAGCAAGGAGTCCTTGCATTTTCTTTTATTAAAAGTAGAAAGGTGAGTTACAGGTAGTCCTCAATTTACAACAGTTCATTTAATGACCGTTCAAAGTAAGAGTAACAGAGTTGGAAGGGACCTGGGAGGTCATCTAGTCCAACCCCCTGCTCACGCAGGAGACCTGTACTAGGGCTTCAAACCGCCGAACTGCCGACCTTTCTGATCAACAAGCTCAGTGTCTTAGCCACTGAGCCACCTAGTCAGGCAGTTACACCAGCACTAAAAAAAGTGACTTATGGCCATTTTTCACACTTACGACCTTTGCAGCATTCCCATGATCATGTGATCAAAATACAGATACTTGGCAACTGGTTCATACTAATGACCGTTGCTGCGTCCCAAGATCACGTGATCATCTTTTGCAAACTTTTCAGTTCAATGGGGAACCCAGAGTCACTTAACAACAAAGTTGTTGGGGGAGGGCCTTCTCTGTGGGGGCACCTACCCTCTGGAATCAGCTGCCCCCAGAGATAAGGAGAATCCAAGACCTCAGTGCCTTCCGTCATGCCCTTAAAACGCATTTTTTCAAGCAAGCCGGGCTGGCTTAAGAAGAAATTTTTAAATGTTTTAATTGGTAGTGAGTTTTAATTGGGCCAAATTTATATATCTTTTAATTGTTTTTTTAATATTTGTACTGCATGTTTTTAATTTTGGCTGTACATCGCCCTGAGTCCTCAGGGAGAAGGGCGGTATAGAAATTTAAAAATAAAATAAAAAATAAAAAGTTACTAATTTATCAACTGTGGTGATTCACTTAAAAACTGTGGCAAGAAAGGTCGTAAAATGGGACAAAACTCACTTAACAAATGTCTCACTTAACAACAGAAATGTTGGGCTCAGTTGTGGTCATAAGTCGAAGACTATCTGTACTTTGTTCCCTAGGATTAGCTCAAAAACTATTTTTGTACTTCTTTTATAAACCTTGGACATTGCATATCAGCCAAAAATCTTAAGAGTTAATACTATTTAATGGGGCTTCAGGCTTCCTTTCACTTTTCACTAGTCACAGTCTAGTGAAGTCTTCAGAAAGCACCAGAGCACTATTAGATATCGTTCATAACTGTAGTGCATGCTAATTGCTCCCATCCCTGTAATCAGTTTGAGTTCACATGACATGCTGCATGATTTTCGGTTTGAATAAAGATCAGCTCAGCCATTATGGAGTCAATGCTCACGTCTGTTGGATTGTTTGTAACCTTCAATTGAAGTGTTACATCACAGTGCAACAATTTTTCAATCAATGTATCTCAAATGGGTTAACTTACAGAATGAGTCCAAAAGCAGGGATTCATGACTCCTATGGGACTGAAATTTGGCAAACTTGTAGCCGCTTCAGTGCTGCCACACCACCGCAGTCAGCCGCAGTCACATAATCATCATTTCTAGCACTCCTTGCCAGCCTACAAGGAAAGTCAATGGGGAAGCTGGCAGGAAGTCAGAAATTGTTTCTGCTCCCACTGCTTCCCCTAAGCCCCTTGGTCATTCCCTTTCTCTATTTAGATAAGGAAATATCTGTGAAATGATGATTCAGTTGGTCATGGGTTATCTAGTAAAGCTTTATTTTTGGCTTAGTATGATGTTCGGTCCGTCCAACAGTGTTTTCCTCGTGCTACAGTTAAGCAAACCACAGGTCAGTGCTCCATGTGAACAAGGCTTAAGACAAGAATCTTTTTCATGGCAAAGTTATCCATGCATGCTTATTGGATGAATTAGATAAAATTTCTCCCAAATAGATATGTAAAGTGCCCCATAGTGGAAGAAGGCAGAGGAGTAACTGGGTGAGAAGGGGATGAGATAAACTTTTTTATAGCAATAATAATAGCACTTAGACTTATATACCACTTCACAGCCCTCTCTAAGTGGTCAACAGTGTCAGCATATTGCCCCCAATAATCTGGGTCCTCATTTTACCAACATCAGAAGGATATAGAAGGCTGAGTCAATCTTGCCGGTGAGAATTGAACTTCTGGCAGTCAGCAGAATTAATCTGCAATACTGCATTCTAACTACTGCACCACCATGGCTCTTATCAGGCAGAAAGGGGAAAAAGTGGTTTGGAGGACGAATAAACATAGTGCCTGTATCTTAAAGAAGCCACAGTACAGTAGCTGCATGGTCCCAGGAAAATACAAATTTGATTTAATGTGGAGATGGTGATTTGGTATGGCAAGTCCGTTGCACCCTGTCAGCATGTCCTTGACTCAGATGTATTTTTCTGACTACTATGTGAGCTCAGAACAAGTGCCCTTTCTTTTTCGTATCCAAATAACTCTATACTCCTAGTACACCTATTTGCAAGATGACCATTTAAAGGACATGCATGCATCTTTCTTGGTCAGCATGTAACTAGGTGTTACACCACACAACATTCTATCTATGAAAACTAGCCAAAGTCCTCTTCTCCATTGAAATAATTTCTAAATCAAATTCTCTTTCATCAGATTAAATGAAAACTGGCAGAAAACAGCAAAGTAGTTTTTCTGCCTAGCAATTTTTTTTTTTAATACTGGGCATGCCACCCAATTTCTTTAATTTAAAAAAAAAAAACCATGAGTGTAGTTTGATTCTGGCAGTTCAGAATCATAAATAATTTAACTGCTTATCAATTCATTTCAAGCTTTGGACACTTTAAAGTGTACTGAAGTAAAAAATCTGTTTTGTGGAGCCCAACCTTCCCCAAAGGATTTTCAGTGAGAACCAGAGCCCCGTGGATACATTATGGAACTCTTAGTCTTTTTTATAGAAGCAATTATTTGAATGGTCTTTCTTCTGTTTTCAAAAAAATATTGCCTATAAAACCACATGCCTATGAAATTGCACTTAAGTCAAGCTCAGTTCAAATACTTTTTCCTTCTTAGTTTTTAAAATTAGATTATTGTTGTTTTACAGTAATGTTTTATTTTTGCTTTTTCAATATCTTCATTTATAATCAGTAAGGAAGATGCAAAGTTTTTAAAAAAATCTTTTAAGCAGACAAACTCCAAACTCCAAATACTCATTTATTTAACAAATACAAACAAACTTTTAAAGGGTTAGGAATATTATTATAAACTACAAAGGGTGTTTTTGTATTACAACTCACCTTCCAGGAGACGTCAGTGGCACTTTGTCCTACCTACATACATTCATTGCTGCTGTTGTCAGCATCAACCTTTGTGCTGCGTTGGTCAACGTTCCCCAGATAAAGTGCCAATGTTCCATGTAAAGGGTGAATCCTCTTGCTTTCTAATTCTTCCTTTTAACCAGGAGATACTCAAACGTGACCATCCGTTTTCTGTCCTTCCCATGAAGTCCTCCTATGAAGAAGCTGTGTTTGAGCTGCATACGGTGATCTGTCTGTGACTCTGTGTCTGTGACTCTGTGAAAAGGAAACAAACAGCCTCGGGTGTCTTTGCTTTGGTACGGTTCCTTGAGGATTGATTGGCGGGAGAAGCTGGAATTTAAATCCCCCTACCTCCTTTTGCTGGCTTCCCTATCTTTCAACTTCTCGGGCCTGACGCAGCAAGAGCTCCAGCCATCCTCCAGCCGCCTCTGAGGGGAGCCCAGCCTGCCTTGTGATTTTAGCTATTCAGGCCAGCTTGCCTTTGCCGCGGGAGACAGAACACTCTGAGAGGACATTCCGGCAGCCTGTTTTCCTGCAGCTGAGGAGACGACATTCATGGACCTCCGTTTGATTTGGATATGTCACTGTTGTCAGGGCAACTGTTAATGGTGGCGTATCATATTTTCTTCTCTTGGGCTCCGTGCTGAATATTTCAGTAAGCAGCAGAAAGAAGATACTGGGAGGGGAAAGGTGCTGCATCAGGAAGGAAAGAAGCCCAGGGATCTGACTGAACAAGTTTAACGCTCCAAAGAGAGGAAGAGGACGACAAGGAGGGGGAGGTGAAGGCATTCCAACCAATGGACTTTTAATTAAGCCTCTTTTTTTTTTTTTTTTGGTCAACGTACAAGAAATTGTAAGCTCCTATCTGCCAAGTGCACGTTGGTATCTCTCTGCTGTTTGCATTCTGCTGGGCCCTCACAGGATGTGTTACAAATGAATCCACTGCTTTGCAGCTAGCTGGAATTGACAGATTGTAAGGTGGGGGGGGGGATAGAGAGAAGGACCGGCAATAATGCCAGGTTCAGCAGCTGCTCTCCGGCAAGAGCGGCTGAAGAAGCCAGGCGTGAGGCCAAATACACCTGTTCTGTTTACCATTAATGAGGAGGATGAGCATCAAAAGAGCAACCATTCCAAGAGATCAAAAGGTATGCATTACTTTAGCCAAGCAAGTTTGGGTTATCTATAGACCACATCCAGCATTGCAATGGCCGAGTACTGCACGTTGCTATTCTCGGTGCTTTAATTTTTTGCATTGGGTAACCATATTAAAGGTAGGCCTCTGGCTTCTTAACTGTTGCAAGTTGCTTCTTGTCTTGATATTTATCACATTAATAAGCAATCTTCTAGACATGCAGCTTGTTAAAAGGAACGCTGTTAAACAAGCGATGAAATTTGTTTCTATGCAGGAATAAGCACTTGTTTTATTCTTTTGGCATGTATTAGTAAAATGAAGGCATTGACATGGAGAAATTGGCTTTTGAGAAAACAGAAATTTGGTCCCAGTTATTACATCGATTGTATTCTATGCATTACTGCATGAACAAATATATTCAAATGATTTAAATATTCATAAAGACCCATATACTGACTTTAGCAAAACTGCCCGGTTTTGTGGTTACTTTATGTCTTGACAAAATCTTGTTTCTGTAACAGTCCTGGTCTCAGTTTATCCGAGTTGTTCAAAGCTTAGATTACTAAAACTTTAGATTACTTTGCCATCAGTTTTTCACTGTTGATTTGTAAACTGAACACTGGCTGACTTGAGTATTTTTTTTTCCTTTCGCATCCTTGGCTGTGATAAATAACTTACAGATTCTAGAAACATGAGATGGGAATGGGGAACAGCAATCAGTTTTTGGTATTTAGTATTTGTAAAAGAGGCACCATAAACTTCAATAGCTTTGTGGACTTAGTAGGTTGTTTATTTTTCCTCTTCATTCAACCAGACAACTAATAGGAGGGTTTGACTGGTTAATATTTACTGATTTAGATAAATGGTTATAGTTATTTGAAAGTGACAGTTTCTTTCATATCCTGCTCTGAATCACTAACTTCCAGGAACCTAGCTTCTTTAAAACATCCGTGTTAAAATGTTTAACAATTTAAATATTTTAATTTAATTTAATTATTCCAATTTAAATATGGAAAAAGGGGTGAAAATCCCGAAGAAACTAAAGTAATGATTATTTGAAACAGTTCCCCTTCCATGTCTCTTGCTGTCTCACCCACTTCTATAATATGCTTAGAAAACAACCAACAGCATTTATATTTTAGTCTGTTTCCTAGCCATGTTAGAATTCTACAATATTGTAAACCTGGTCTGTGCAGGTTTTGCGAGAAATGTAGATCCAGTGGGCTACTTAGCAACAAAGTCTTTGCAATCTTGTTTGGATTAGCACTTTCTAATTTCTAGGATACAGATTCTCTCCTGGATAAACTTTGTATTGGAGTGTCCATTAGGCACTCAAAGTTTATTCTGCAAGATGTCCTGGAAAGGATAAATTGGGTGCCAACTGATTGTTGCTAATTATCCCAGACAGTAGGTGAGGGCACAAGAATGTTGCAAGGTAGAACATATCATTCATCTTCTGTGCTGGGAAAAAAAAGAGATTTATCAAGTTTCATTTGAATATCCAGTGTGCTTCACAATCTCATTTTTGTTGCTGCAGTATCTTTGGTGTCTGCATATTTTTACTGTAGTTGCGTAAAAGTGTGTTGGATTATTTTAGGTCAAAACTAAAACTGAATTCATTTTGCACTGAAGTTTCAGATTACTGGGTTTGCCATTCTGTGATTTGTCACTTTTTATACCTATTTTAAATGTCTAGTAATCCATTCAGTTTTCAATCCCTCCCTTAGGATTGATGGTAGTAGTTTTCAACTCCTAAAATTGATTTTATTATTTCTAAAGTCAGTAAGTAGCACACACACACTATCTTTGTATCCTTGGCAACAATTTGAATAAACTAGTCACAAGTTTGTTTTGGCTAAGAGACTTTTATATGATGAAAATTGGAGCAAAACATTAAAAATGCTTATTTTTTAATTATTTGTCTGGAAGTTAATAGATGCAGCTTGTATTTTAGAATGCTGTGGCTCCATAATATGTAAGAAATATTCATATATTTTGAATGCCATTATTTGTGACCACAAATACTGACATTTTGTCCTCCCAACACTGCTCTGAATTAAGAGCTTCTAAGCACTGGAAAAAAGCAGCTTTCTGATGTTGAAAACAGCAAATAAAATGAAGATGACTTCCCCATGGGAGTCTTTTCATTTCTATATTGCTATCTCCATCTGGATGGCCAGAATAATGTTTAACATATCAAATAACATGTCATTAATGTATTTGATTTCCAGACATGTTTTTAATTTTCCCAAGGTTCTTTCTGTAAATCTCAACATGCCAAACATGTGGCAAATAACAATGTACTTAGCATGAAATACAGTTTAGTAACAAACTTATGCTTAGCTTTTGTCATTCTTAAAAATTATTGTTTTGAAATGGATTGTAAAGAAATTGATGCCTAGGTCTGTTAAGCATGAATGAGGCTGGACAAGATCTGTATGAAAATATTAATATTGAATTTATTTTTGTTTTTTCTTTGAGATTTTTTAGCATAAATATCTCTTTATTCTTAGTTTGGTACATGACAGGGATGTCTATCATGACCACAAACACTTTAATATGATGCTTGCATGATAATGAAGATATTTCCAGCCAAACTCTTCATTCTGTAGTTAAAAAAAGATGAGAGATATTTATTTTAATAATAGCTGTATGTTTTTCAGTTTTCATTGTTCTGAAAATGTGAAGAGAAAGATGTGTGATTGTTGCTCATCTTATGAAGCTTGATAGCTGTTTTTACTGCTCATCAGTTTTTGCATAAATGCACTCTGGAGGATTGGATTCAGAGAGTAGGAGAACAATTGTAGCTGTGCTCATTCAATAAAATTTGCTCCCAAATTCACGTGTAAAGAGATGTAAACTAAAGAGCTTTACTCATGAAAAATAACCCAAGAGAATCTTCTGGATATTGAGAAAGAATATAGGGCATGTTATAAATAGATATAGAACAAGCCATGGAATGATTGTCTCTTCAGATTGAAATGACAGTTGCTCAGGATTGTGGCAAGTTGGAAGCCAAGTGCATCTGGAGGGCACTAAATGGGAAAGGCCTATTTTAATATTTTTCAATTGACTATCCTTGTTCAAATTCAGATATGGATGATGATTGCTAGTGCAGACTTTGATGGCATTTTTGGAAGAGTGCCCAACTCTGCTGGCACCTTTTTTTAACCTCTGAAGGGTTTAGATATCTCTTTTCACAATCAGTTCTTATTCTGCCCTGATACACCCATTCAGACAGCATTAACTCAATTACTCATAAAGCTCTTACTGTACCTTTCTATTCTTTAAAACTTCTCCTTCCTTTCACAAGAAGGCAAAACTTGTCTTTCCAGTATGGTGTTAGTGAATTGAAAGCTGCCAAAGCTTTACCTAGCAGAAAAAACAGGGCTGTTCCTAATGGCCATTTCATGACACACGTAACTCGGGTGCCACAGCTCACAAAAGCAGGCACTGACAAATGGTTGAAGTTTTCACTTTTCCCTCCTAACTGATAATGACTAAATGACTGTACCTAATTATTATGAAGGATTTTCTTTGCTCTGAACCTCTCTGGCAAAGCCTTTGAATATCTTTTTGCTTAGCAGGTACCTTGGCCTTTATGGCTGCTGGAAGCCAAAGGAATGCTTGGACAGACGTCTTTTCGTAGAAGTAGTTTTAGAATTTTGCAAAGGACAATTTAGGATTAATTAGACTGGTAAGAGAGAAAGTGGTGTCATTGCGTCTTAAAAGAAAAGCAATAGCATGTAAAATGCATGCAATGTGGATATTTACATGGGTAACTACAATTAAATCACTGCATGCACACTTTGAATCATAATTCTAAAAGGAACTTTTTTAAATGGTGAAGACGGATACTACATCTTAAGGAAGTTAAAAATGGTTTGACAGTTCCGTCTCGACCTTTTAAACAGATGTACAGGTAATCCTCAACTTACAACAGTTCATTTAGCAACCGTTCAAAGCTACAATGACATTGAAAAAATTCACACTTATGACCTTTCCAGCATCCCTATGGTCACATGGTCAAAATTCAGATGCTTGGCAGCTGGTTCATATTTATGACGGTTGCAGTGTCCTGGGGTCATGTGATTAGCTTTTGAGACCTTCTGCCAAGCAAAGTCAATGGGGAATCCAGATTCACTTAGCAACCATGTACTAACTTAACAAATGCAATGATTCACTTAACAACGGTGGCAAGAAAAAGTAAAAAAAACGGGGCACACTCACTCAACAAATGTTTCACTTCGCAACATAACTTTTGGGCTCAATTGTGGTCTTAACTTGAGGATATATATATTTCTTTTTTCGTAAGTCTATATGTGCATTACTGTTCTAGCCAGGGTTTTTCCTACGTAAATCAAGATTTTTATGCAGCCCTATTTCACTGAACTAGGGCTGCATAAAAATCTTGGTTTACATAGGAAGAACCTGGCTAAAGAGAAATACACACACACGCACGCACACGCACACACACACACACACATCCTACACACCACCCATACTGTTTTTGTAGTTGGAGTAAAATATATGTGGATTTATAAATGGTAAAAGAAAGGATGAATATAAAACATAGACGATAGGTATGCATGTGCTGTTTGAAGAAAAAGAAAACAACCAAGACAGCTTGCCTAGGGGTAAGGTAGGGCAGGATTAGTGCTGATGCACATCCTTGGCATAAGCAACAACCTGCTGATCAGACAAACATTTCCAGGGAATTGAACCATTTTCTGGTAACTCAAAGGTAGTCAAATATTATTTCCTGCACTGAGATAATTGTGCAGATCACCTGATTGCCATAACTCTTTCAAGAATGAGCTAATGTATTAATTGCTGGATTGTCTTCCAACTCCAGAAGTCTATGATAGAGCAAAAAATTCAGCTTGTGACGGCAGCATATGAGGTTTGTCAATCTTGGTTTAAAATATAGCAGCACACAAAAACAGATGGGATCGTTTCTTTTAACACTACAAATCAAGTTCTGTTGAATATGATGGAACTTTTCCTTGTGTG